GATAGTGATGGCCAACAGATGTTACTATGGTCTGATCAAACAACTCAAAAGCAAGGCCACCTCCCGCCAGACCAAAATCACACTCTACATGACGCTGATACTACCCGTACTGTTATATGGATCTGGGTACTTGCGCAAGCAGATGAGGCAGCTCTTGGAGTGTTTGAGAGAAAAATTCTCCAAAGGATCTATGGGCCGTTGACGGTGAATATCGCCTTCGAATGAACTATGAGTTGTACCAGCTGTTCCCGGACATCGACATTGTTAGACGTATTGGCTAGGTCATGTTGTGAGGTTGGATGAAGATGCCCCAGCCCAGAAGGCATATACAAGCGATGGTTCACGCAGAAGGGGAAGGCCACGAATAAGATGGAAAGACCAAGTGGAAGACAACATTGCCGAATATGGTCTTTCAAATTGGAAAAACTGCGTAGAAGACCGACGCGCCTGGATTTTTTTTTAAATCTACGCCTCTTATGGTCTTCGAAAAAACTATTCGTTAATAAATCCACGTCTCTTCTGGCCTTTGAAAAATATTCGTTAATAAATCCACGCCTCAGTTGGCCCTTGAAAAATATTCGTAAATAAATCCACGCCTCAGTTGGCCCTTGAAAAATATTCGTTAATAAATCCACGCCTCAGTTGGCCCTTGAAAAATATTCGTTAATAAATCCACGCCTCGGTTGGCCCTTGAAAAATATTCGTTAATAAATCCACGCCTCTGTTGGGAGTTGAAAAATATTCTTTAATAAATCCACGCCTCAGTTGGCCCTTGAAAAATATTCTTTAATAAATCCACGCCTCAGTTGGCCCTTGAAAAATATTCGTTAATAAATCCACGCCTCAAATCCACGCCTCAGTTGGCCCTTGAAAAATATTCGTTAATAAATCCACGCTTCATCTGACCTTTGAAAAATATTCGTAATAAGTCCCTGACTCTTTGGAAAAACATTCTTTAAAAAATATAAATTCACATTTGGCATTTTAAAAATAAATTTAACCATTAATCACTTGTTACAATTGAAAAAAAATTATATTAGAATTCATTTTAAATCGTTATTTCCGCAAGTGTAGCTCCGAATTTCCTCCCAAATAATTCATATGTCCAAATATAAACAATAAACAGCTATTGATTCTATTTTTTTAATAAAAACTAATTCCACTACCATATTTGTATTCGAATAACGTGGCAGCAAATTTTCATCATCACACACATCCACATCAATACTACAATTTTCCAAAACCGGTAACAAATTTTCAAATTTTCCATTTGGCGTCGCAATGTCTTCCAATAGAATGCTGGCTGCAAAACTGGCTCACCTATGTTTTTGTTTTTTTCTCTTCCATTTGACCGGTTAATTAGAGTTTGGCTACAAAACGATGATTAATTACAATTTTCAATAGCCTGCTACTATTTTCAGTGAAATAAAAAAAATCGAACCATATATGGTGTGGATTTTTTAACGCATTTTGTCTGACCAGCTTAAGTATGTGTTTGTTTTTTCCCAAAACTCACAATTTGTTGTGTGTATTTTGCTAATGTACCGCCAAAACAGCCGAAAACGAGATTTCATTTGCTTTTTGCATTCACGCTGGAGTGGCTTTGAAAAGGAGATGGATGGCAAATTCAATGCAGTATCAAAAGCGCCAAACTAAAAAATACAAACAATTTACAAATTTGGTCAAATCATAAAAACACAAACAGAGACTTACATACATTCGTATATACATATGTATATAGATATTACGGAGTCTCCAACCCCATTGCCAGACAAACATGGTATGGATGTTATGTTGTGTGGCTCTATTGTTGAAATTTTTGGATATATATCCGTTGCTGGCTTTCAATCAAAATAAACCCAACAACAAAATTCAATTTAAAAATCACTTCCAAAAAAGCCACTCAAAGTTAGAGTGAGTTGGAGTGAATATGAATATCCATAAAAGAGTTTGTCCGACCGCCTGCCTGGTATTTTTTTCTTAACCATATGGATGCTGAATGTTGTTTTGGATGCTTGGTTGGTTGGTTGGCTGCTTGAATACCTGAAAGATGAATGAATGAATCAATTAATGAATGAATGTTGTTGGCGTTGAGGTATTTGTTGTTTCTTTTTTTTCTTAATAGCCGAGCTCTTTAACAATTCATTTAAATATTTTTGCTCTAATTTGGATTTTGTTTGTGCTGTGTGTTTAGTCATTTTTAACGGCAAAAGTATTCAAACTGGTTTTTTTAAATATATATATCAACACACTTTGGTGGCGTGTAAACTTGTTGCCTGTCATAATTTAATATCACATAATCTTATTAACAGGTCACTTGAAGACGGGGATGTACAATTCGGAAATTGTGACTAATTGTCGACAAACCATGTAATTATAACCGGTTTAGTTTTGTATAGAGTGATGGCGTTTCCCATTATGATTCAAAAAAAAAAAAAAAATCTATCCAGATAATTACAAATGTTGACCCAAGTTTTTGGGTTAGATCCCATACAACCCAGTATTGGGTATTAGGGATATTCTTAACCCTTTCAGTGTCAAAAAAATTTTTTGTCGGAATAAAAATCTAAAATTTTGTATTAAAAATCATATAAAGGGACATAGTTTAGAAAAAATAGCAATTGTCATTTTAACCCTCGGCCAGTTTCGTCTGTCTTACAGCAAAAACAAAAACATTAATAGTAACGGTATATAGGATAACCGAAAAATCGCAAAGAAAGATAGTACTTTTAAATGTCGAATATATTCGACAAAAACACTGAAAGGGTTGAGTAAGTTTTTCAACCGAATTGGCACTAATTGGATATTTTGAATTCTCACAAAACAAAAATTATACAATTTCGATACACATTTTGGTGTAGGCTTCATATAATTAAATGGAATTTCATATTGATTCTCTTTTTGGGGACGTTTTGGGGTCTCTATGGGTGTAAAATCTTCCTACGGAAAATTAAAAATTACAAAACCGCCATAATTCGGTATGTTGGGCATGTTTGGAATTTGCTCTAGTTTAATATCTGAATTTACAGAATGGTGCCGAAATTAATTTATATCAGTACATTTTTCTGTTATCAGTAATAGAAACGGTCACTTCAAACTTTTATAAACAAAAACAAAAAAAAGTGCCGAATTTTTAAACAATTCCATTTTTGAAGTTTTTTTATAGATTATGTAACAAGTTTGTCTGTGTGTTATATTCAACCTCAATGCTGTACTTATAGGCCCATATTCTGTTAAGAGTCCCCTTAGCTAACCTGTGGAAAAATAATATTTATTAGAAAAACATTTTATATTTAATGCGAACAAATTTAACATATTTACCTGATAATTCAAATTGCCTTAACGATTATATCAATCCATTCTAAATGGAAAACCCCGATTTATGTTTTTTTTTTTAAGATTTTGAATTGGCTGTTATTTGGTATCTAGGAACTTTGTGGATAAGAAACTGTTTCACGAAATGTTCCGTGAAATGTTATGGATTCCATTTCCTCTTAGCTTCAATTTACCAAAGCATAGTGTCCATATGAAATTCAAGCTTAATTTTAACTATTTTAAATCTCCACCTAATGGTTGAAGGTTTATAAAGTTCAGCCCGGACGAACATTACGACGTTTTTACTTGCTAATGACGTTTTTACTAAATTGCCTAAAAGAAACTTTATCTAACACCCACAATGGTGTGGAGGAACTTATGAATCAAAATCTTTTCTAGCGTTCATCTGTACAAACATAGACATTAATTAAAAATTGAACTATTTAAATAAATATTTGGGTATTCAACTTACCATGGTGATTAATAGAAACTTCATCAAGGATCCAAGGAACATTAGTTGTTTTTTATTTATTAATTTTCTTGTTGATTATTATGTCGAATAAATCACCGATATAGGGTAAATTTGTTTAAACCTCTTATGTAATTAATAAAATTAGTTATGTTTCTTATTTTATATGTAATTTGTGTCCTTTTCTAACAAAATCAATAAAAAGAAATGCCTTTGTTCCAAATTGCGCCATTTTCAGCTTGTTTTCCTTTTTAACTGTCATTTACCACTACGTTACGTTCTCACCACTAATTAGCACTCTCTCTCTCATCCATGTGTAATTTATTGAGAATGGTGTTTATATCACTCTTGTTACTGTGATTGTCTTAGAAATTTAATTGGTTATACAAATATTTTCCATATTATTTTTTTTATTTTATACATAATTTTGCTCCTTTTTTAATAAATTAAATAAATTAAAAAGTTACGCCTTTGTACCAAATTGCGCCATTTTCTGCTTGTTTTTCTTTTAAACTGTCATTTAGCACTACGTTACGTTCTCACCACTAATTGACACTCTCTCTCTCATCCATGTGTAAGTTATTGTGAATGGTGTTTATACCACTCTTCTTACTGTGATTGTCTTAGAAATTTATTTGGTTAATCATTGCTTTTTGTTTATTTTTATTAATTATATATATATATATTTGCTTGAAGATGTGTCTCTTTTGAATAAATTTAATTAAATATGATTACTTTTTATTTTCAAATTACCTGTAAGGTATTGTTTTTTGTTACTGTTTACCCCTACGTTACGTACTGCCCACTAACCAACTACCACACTCATGGACCTTTTATTGTGAATGATAACAGCACATAAAACCATTGTGAATGACTTTTAAGAAAACAGCTGTTTTAATTTGATGAGGTAGACGTTGATGGCAAACTATCGGTAAACTGATAATCTTTAAAGAAATGTTTTACAATAGAATAGATTAAATTAAATCAAATCAAAATAAGACAGTGCATTGAATTTATTAAGCAATTATTTAATTTTTAAATAAATATGTTACATATTTGTGTGGATTTTTAAATAAAAATATAAACCCTTTTCAACCTTACCGATAAATCAATCACAATCAAACGTTTTATCGATACTGTCATCTCCAATAGTCCCCCCATCACTAGTTCGGAGGCCGGGACAATTTGGGTTATAGCAAATTACGCGAGGAAATAAAAATTGAATGAAATATTAAATAAAAATGGCATTTAGCAGTCTTTTGGTAAAAACACAATTGCCACAAAGCCTACGGCAATCGACTCCGTTGTTGTTGGCCTGCCGTCAGGGTCATACGGTGCGTGGTAAACCAGTCGGTGTAGCCAAAACATTGGAACAACGTTTGGCAGGTAAATAATGGTGTTGTAATCACTATAGTGAACGAAATATGATTTAATTTATTTCGATTTTTTTTTGTTCTAACATAATTTAGAGGAAAATAAACAGGATCCGGAATTGACGGCTCGTGTTAATATTGGCCTACCCAAATTGAAGCAATCACGCTCCGAACTGTTCAAAGATCGTTGGGCCCATATTAAGGCACAACGTGCCAATACTGAATTGGAGAAGAAAACGAGAAGTCAACAGTGTAAGTAAAATAATTAAATAAAAGGACTGACTTGCATGGGGACGATGACGGGAGAAAGGAAAATACCAAAACTACAAAAACTCAGGGGGAATATTGGACGAGGGCATTAGACATACCGAAAATCAGGGTTGATCAATAAGAACCAATTGGTATATAAAATAAATATGTACTACCCAATGAAAATCCAAAATTACAGCCAATTTCGTTAATAAAAGTCCCCAAAATATAGAAGTTAGAAAGATCTCGTTATTTGGGGATTACCCCAAAAAGTTTTCCAATATCGATCATCATATGTAGGAAAATTGGTTATCGCATGAAAACCCGAAATATAAATACGGCTTTATTTCTTCTGGTCACGAGGACTGGAATTATGGACTTGCACAAGAAAACAATTAAGAAGTTCTAATCAGGCCCCATAGTGATTCTCATCTAAAAATTTTAAACAATTCTCGATCGGACCTTCTTGTTCCAACTTAAGCCAATATTTTTCTAAAATGTAATATCCATACAATTTCCATTTCAGTACTCATTGACTTGGATGAAGTTCAAAAAGACTATGGTCAAACAACTCGTGGTTTTGATTTACGCGTCATTGCCGATCACTATGGCATTTTCGAAGATTTATTCGGGGCTGCCTATTTTGTGCCCAGAGTCAATTTGAATATACAGGTAAGAAATTTCTTTAGAATTCAAATAGGGAAAATATCCATTTTTAAATTCCTCTTTTCAGTATGAAGCTGATGCCGAAACCTTGGTGCCCGTTTACAATGGCAACATTATTAAACCCAAAGAGGCTAGAAATCAGCCATTGGTAAGCTTTGATGGTACCACCGATCCCATTACGGGTAAACCACAAAAAGAAGATTCCTATTGGACATTGGTAGCCACAAATCCCGATGGACATTTTAATGCCGACGATAAGGAATATGTACATTGGTTTGTGTACGTCTATCAACCCATATTAAATCAAATTTAAATCTAAAGTTTAAATGTTTTTCTATTGCAGATCCAACATCCCCAATGGTGATGTTGCAAAGGGTGAAGTAATTGTCAATTACCTGCCACCATTCCCACCCAAAGGTATTGGTTTCCAACGTTTTGTATTTGTGCTCTACAAACAGAACAAGAAGCTCGATTTTAGCTCACTGAAATTAGCCGATGCCGATTATGTTAATTTGGATAAACGTACATTTAAAACCTATGATTTCTATCGTCAATATCAAGATGATATTACGCCAGCTGGTTTGGCTTTCTATCAAACGGATTATGATAAGTCGTTGACAAAATTCTACCACGATGTGTTGAGTAAGTTTTTCTATACGATAATTATTTAGAAATTATTTAAACTTCTTGTTTTCCTTTCTCAGACATTAAGGAACCCATTTTCGAATATGACTTCCCTGAACCCTATTTGGCTGATCAGAAATTCTTCCCCTTGCGCCAGGCCTTCAATCTGTACATGGATCGTCATCGTGACATTAAACAAGTGAACAAAGAATATTTGGAACGTAAATTGTCAAAAACGCATCCATTCGAAGGTCCAGAACCCGAACTGCGTTATCCCAATGCTCATCCCATTAAGAATAAACCATCATGGTTGCGCACCGAAATTAGAAAGGAACGTTTACGTATTGGCCGTATTAATGATTATTTGAATTAAAAAATGCTGCTGTTGTTTAAGTTAGGAGAGAAATTGTTGAGCTATGTTGATGTGTGTTCTATAAAATAGAATAAACAAAAAAATATTATTTGGAAAGCTTTGTTCTTTCTGGAATACAATGTTGACTGCCAAGCTCTATGAAAGTTGTTACGTACAACGTTGCAATGACCAAAGAAAAAATCACTCCAGAAGTGGAGTGTATGCCTAGTATTCCTATCCAGACCTATATCGTTGGAGCTATATACTCTAGTGTTTCACATACGGAAAATATGGAAGTCTGAAAAAATATATTTTAAATAATCTGAAAAATATTTTTAAAAATATTTTCGCCTCTTTCAAAAATATCTACGCCTCTTAAAAAAAATCTACGACAGTTCTGGAGTTTTGTTCAAAGGGTTTTTTTTGGCATTCGAAGTATATGTATACGAAAAGTACTAAGTATGGTACAATTTCATAGCATGTGAAGGGATAGATCTAAAAACTTAAAGTTTGGAATGTGAATTTTGGTTGAGAAGTAGGGTCGATATGAGGAGATGGTTTTGAAAGCGTGCATCCATTTGTACGAAAAGTACTATATGGTACTACATTTGGTACAGATGTAATTTGGAGGTACACATGGAGCTGGAATCCTAAAATTTGAAATTAACATCAACGTCGTATTGTAGAATTGGGATATGTACGTGGAAATCGAAACGAAATTCCAATCGTTACTTATGTGTATTAAAAGTACTAAATCGTACTATAATCGGTACAATTTTGTTTTGGGTGAACCGACAGAGCTGGGATCATGAAATTTGGAATTAGGATAATTGTAGGGGTGTAGGATTGGAGTATGTAGGAATTTTTGAGAATTCGTACTAATGTGTTCTATATGGTACCAAATTTGAATTTGGATGCAACGATAGAGTTTTGAGTGAATCGATGCAGGAAGTTTTGGAAATTTGTACTAAATGGTACCAAATTTAGATTTAGGTGAACTGGGATCTTCACATTTGGAGTTAGGATCACTATAGGGGGTTGGATTGGGGGTATGTAGGAAGTTTTGGAAATGTCTATTAATGTGTATCAAACGGCACTAAATTTGGTACAATTTGGATCTAGAGTGAACCAATAGAGCTGGAATCATGATAATAAGATTTCCATTGGGTTGTACATACGTATACTAAATGGTACTAAATTTCATATAATTATGCCCTACACATCTATGTTGTCAGGGTATTATAGCTTTGTGCAGCCCCAAGAGTTTGTAACGCCATGAAGTATTGGTCCCACCTTTTAGTATACCGATCTTCATATTTCGACTAACTCAGTCGATCTAGACATGTGTGTTCGTCCGTCCGTCTGTGCATTATAATTTGTAAACACGATACAGGCCACAGTTATGGACCAATCTTCACCTAATTTTGCATGTAGGATGGGTTCTGGCCAATGAAAATGGACCGAAAACTTTGTTTTTGTCTAATTTTCTGACCGCCCAATAGGCCGCAATTATGGCCCAAACATATATATGGAGAGGATCGAATCAACGAATAAACATGGCGGTTTTGATAAAGAGCGTTCAATATGTAGCGGGTCTTATGGACCCTGACTTTTGTGTGAAAAATTACAAAATTTGTATTCTATAAAAATGAAGGACATAGACCCGAGAAGTTGATACCTATTATATTGTCGTATGTACTCGAATGCGGGAGTTAAGGTGGGATCACATGATTGTCGCAATGCGCCAATTTAAACCAATTTTCATTGTCCAAAGTTTTACTACAATAAATAAATTGTCACAATCAAATTCTCTGCGGTCACATGATTGTCCAACTTTTCATAAATTTGATTGCCGCATATTGTCTCAAAACCATCAAGTGACAATTATTGTCCAACTTCAGTCACACGATTGTTCTACTACACGGCAAATATCAGAAGCAGCTGCTATGTGTCAAAGTTTGTTTATTAAAAATGTTAAAGCATTTAAAAATTTGTTTTATTAAGATGTGTTCTTTAAAAAAAAAGAAAATTGCAGCAGCTATAATTATGGTGTGTGCATTTGACGATGAGAAAAATGAAAGGAAAGAAAAGAAAAAAAAAGTAAATAGAAGTACGTGGGTCAGAGAGTGGCTCACAAAAAGAAGCACTGATGGTGCATATGACAAAACATTAATGGAATTCCGGGAAATCGAAAACCAAAAGTTTTTGTTTAAAAATTTTATCCGGATGGATGACGAAACGTTTATCGAATTACAAATTACAAATTACACTTGGTTTTTTTCTTTTTTTCGGCACAGGTGTTTCTGGTTGCTGATCGGGGGAAAAGAACTCAAGCTCAGCTGAATTTTCGTATACAATGCAATCACCGAATTCCATATTAAAGCTGCAAATACATAATATGAACATAATTATAGCAAATACAACAATTTAAATTAACTTTACTTTACTTACGACAAAGAAATGTTGACGGTACAAACACAAGAAAAAATATTATTTAAAAAAAATCAGGTTATTGACGCGTATTGTCTTCTTTGATTGACGCACTAGAAAACAATAAATATTGACGCATTTTTCAACTTTAAATTTGCGCAAGGTTGTCTATTAACAGTTCACACGATTGTCGTACCAGAGTTGTATTTGATTGCCGCAAATCAGCACAATTTATTTTTGATTGTCGCATTGGACAATAAATTGTGCAATCACACGATTGGCATATAAAATGCACCAATAATTGGCGCATTGCGGCAATCATGTGATCCCGCCTTTATACTTAAATATTTACATGTGCTTACGTATTTAAATATTATTTAGTGACCCATTACCACACTAGAGGGCGAAAATATAACGCTGATCGCTTTGAAATTTTCCATGATGTTCCAGTTATGGTCAAGGACAACGCCTATAATTTTCATTGATGATTAGATAAAAATTTTTGGGATAAAGTGGTTCGAGTCGATCTATAGGCCATGATTATAAGCCGAACATCACAACACAACCCACCGTGAAGGGAATCTGGACAAGTAACTAGAAGTGCTGTACTGAATATTGGGAATATTCGGAATATATGTCAGTGTAAGGAAGAAGTGCTGTTGATCTCTAATCGGGTAAGAGGGTGCAAGTATCACGAAATACTGCCCAGACTCAGAATAAACATCAGCAGAAAGATAGAGTTCCGTATGGTCGGCCCCTTCCGACTATACTGTCCCGCTCATTGGTTTTAATTATGGTCGGTATTGGTTTTTAAATAATTTCCACAATCGCTAACGATAAATATTATAAAAATCATTTAAAGCACAATTTTGCCCATTTTGTTTTGTTTTATTTTTTTTCTGGAAATTTCAATTCCCTATTAAATCACAAAATTAACTTTCCCATCCTAGCCAACCACATTATATTAAATCGTATATTAAACAAAGACATAGAAACCGTAAAGACTCGACAAAATGCATTTTGACAAAATAGTTTATGAAAAAATATCCAGGGGGAATCAGGCATAACAGAGGCATGTTAACAATTAAAACGTAAATACGCGATAATGTGTGTATAAAATCAGAGATCTGCACTCAAAAAATATTTTTTTATTTAATAAGCTTAAGATATAGCATTAACAACGTTTAATATTGTTCTCTCTGTTGTTATGATATCGTAACAACAGAGGAAAAGCCATCTGTTGGGAATTGTTTACGTATCGATTGTCCTATCTTTATACTTTTATGTCTTTGTATTAAAATCGTAGACGTGTGCATGAACCTTTCAGCGCAGATGGTTCATTTATTCATTTTTTTCCCAAATTTGGCCGTGTGCTTAAAAAAATAAAGAAGGTACGAATGTGCTTTTTTGCCATTCATGCACATCTTAGACACAAACCAAACGTCTACTTTGTTACATTATCTGGGGTTATCTACATTTAAATAAATTGCAACATTAAATTAATATAAACATGTATCTGCCACATATGGTCACACAAACATGTTCCTAGCTAAAGTTTCTGTTATACCAATTTGTATCTCTGAGATACTAATGCATCGCTAAAAGATACATGCCGTAGATACATTGTGTTTGTTCTAAACGTATGTTGCAGATACACAAAAGTTGATATGTCGTCAAATGTTATAATGTTAGCGTAAACATTGTAGCATAGTTTTATTTGAACACTTGCGAGTATCTATATATAATCGTATTTGTATCTTTAACATACTGTTTATAACAAAAACAATGTATCTGCGGCATGTCTGTGTGTATTGGTTGGTCGTTGTTATACAAAAAGATAAATGTCTGACATTAATAGAACACATCGGCTATTTAAAGTGTATATTTAAAGCAAACAATTGATTGTAATTAATTATTTGAGTTGTGTTAGGTCAGTTCTGTTTAAACGAAAAACAAAATTAGGGAACAAATTTTGTTTGAGTGATTTTTGCATAAATGCCCTGACTTTCCTTAGATATGTTGATGGTCCAAGAGACATTGTCAATAGAAGTGGTTATTTATGTCAGGGTTTTTGGAGGGCAAAACAAATATTTGCAAAAAAATGTCAATATAGGAATATTTTTCTTACATTTCTCCATATAACGGTTCCGTCCATTTTAAGTATTTGAAACCGCATTTTCTAATCGATCTGGCTAATAGCTGGGCATTTCGGGTTCATAGTGACTAAAATACTTATTCGAAGGAAATTTTTATACCCTCAGCCTTATGGCTAATGAGTGTATATACACTTTGATACGGTGAAAATGCACCTCATCGAAATATTGGTGTTGGAACCCATGTTTCTTTGGACCAAATACGTTTCAGAAAATTTGGAGTCGATTTACACATGTCCGTGCGTTGTCTGTCTGGCTGGTGCGCACGATAACTCTCGAAGGCAGCAACCAATTTCATTCAAACTTTGCAAATTTTAATATTTCTTCTAAACTTAGTTTAAGTTCACAGATATGGAATATAGGTCCACTCTTTCTGGTACCTCCCCCACATAATGGTCAAAATTGTGCTAAAAATTAATTTTATAATAACATGCAAAC